AGATGATGAAGTAAACCTTCCATATGAAGAGGTGAACAATAGCAATGAACCACCAAATGAAGAATTAAGAGGATTGTTAAGCTATGAGGGTACAAAGGAGACTACAATACAAATGGAAAGGGAAAATGAGGTTGATGCTAATGATGAAACTATGCCAATCCCTTATAATGATGGGGAGAACAGGGCCATGCCTGTTCCATATGTATTAGTTAAGTAAACATCTTTTACATAGACTTAGCTATAGTCTAGTGTTGTTTACAAATTGAGAGTTTTAGTTAGTTATAGTTAGATCTAGTTATGGAACTTTAGATAGATTTTAGTAGTTTTAGTTAGTTATGCTTCAATAAAAATATTTTTAGTTAGTTATAGTTAGTTAAAAAATTTTCAAAGATTTATTTAGCTATAGTTAGTTACCTAAAAGTAAATATGGCTGGTTTTAAACAACACTACTACAGTCCTGGTTTGTCCATTGTGCTTTATGCAACTTGAAAAATTTGCGTGGGATGTAAAGGTGGGTGGAGCTAAAATAAGGGTGGGGCTCACTGTACAAACATATGGCTTTGATTTTTTTGCTACTTTTCCTAATGCTGCAGCATATTTCAGGGGGAAGTCCTTGCATCAAAAACTACGAAGAGCTCAAAGAGGCAATACTTAATAACAATGAAAACCAAGAAGATCTCCTGTTTGGCTTTTATTTTCCAAATAAGTCTCCTTTGTACATAGTCTATCATTATTAAAAAATAATAATATCATAACAGACTTTCGATACCAGTCGCTTGAGACATAAATAAAATATTAATTGGCCACTCTTATCCACATCTACCTGTGTGTAAAGTTCTCCCTGTCTGGCACTGTATGACTATGACTTAACTGGCAAATCCTTTGGGATCAAAATCCTTCTCGAGAAGAGGCTGGAGTGAATAATAAAATGTTGTTAAATTTAATGGTTAGTAATTAGTATCCCCCTTTACCTCAACATATGTAGCTAAATGCCTAAATCTGATACAACCTTAGTGAAGACATGTTGCCGCCATTGTGGCACATTCCAGAGTAAATTACACACTCATCTAGTAAAATAAATGAGTAAATTAGTCTAAAATAAAACTAGAAAGAATGTAAAACATTGAGGGGCTCCGCCTCCAGACCGCACCTCCCAGTCACGCCCAGACGTACGTTCAAGTTCTTGTAAGTAAGGGCTTCGCCCAATTAAATAAATCAAAATTTCATTTACTGACTAATAGCTATCTAGATCTATGCGAAGAAAAATGCATTGTGTACAAGCATATCTATGGTAAAAGCATGCGTAGGGGTTGCAGCAAACAGAAATGGGGTTAGCTTTACTTGCAACAGTCTTCTTCTTTGTCCTGTACTCATCAGTTCAAGCAGATAACGTCACTTGTATAAGCAACTATGCAGATTGCAGATCTAAAGGATGCTCTCAGAGATAAAGAAACTGACAATGTTAGACGACTACTTGACACTTTCTATCCTCCAAACGGTTTAGTAGTACATTTTCTCAATGTTGCTTACTGCTTAAGTGATTCTAAAACCATGTGCAGCCCAACATCTGTTATATACAACTACCACTGGGCAGATACCAGACTTCTACTGGCGATTGAGCTGAAACTACTCATTTCTTTGACTCTGGGTTTCATTAGTCTTGGTCTTAAAGAAATTACTCTAATTATTAGCCCACCATTTTGTTCTAATGAAAGTGAAAGCAATGTGGTACTACTTAATACACTGACGACATGGGTAAGTATTGCAATTTTACAAATTATTAATATTATCATCATTTTTATCGTTAGTTAAAACATTATGCAACTAGTGATGAGGATGAATCAGATAGAGGCTATGTAGCAGGTTACAAGCCTGGCTCTGAGTTTATCAATGTTGATTCCCTCATTTTCCAGCTAGTTGTGCCTTTTGGCTTACTAATGGTTGTCATTAATGTCCTCATCATCTTTAGTTTCAGGGTTTGTTCAAGGACAATGGCAGAGAGAATTGATAAAGCAGTAGAAAGAGCTATTTCCACAGTTCAGTCTAGTGTATCTGATGAGCAGGAAGAAAAGAAAAGGCCTCCTTTCCTTAAGACCATTTCTTCACCTGGTCATAACGTCTTCTATATCTTAGCTGTAGTATTTCTGACGGTCTACGATATGCTATTATTTTTATTCATTTCACCAAAATACAATAATCTCAGTTGGTATGTTTTCCTTCCAGTACCATTCATTGCTCCTTTGTGCTTAGTTTTCGGTGTTATCACTCCAATTTGTATCAAAGGCATCGGAT